TTATGGTATAACAATCCGCCTGTGCCTTGTAAGGACGCAGGCCTAAGACAGGTCAAAGTCAGGCGGCGTCTGTTAGTGAACGTAATTTCTAGGGCGTTGTTCGATCTCATGTGACAACGGAGTGTTAGCTAAAGTCATGCATCTCTGGCATAGTTTCTTAGGCAATAAAACAATAGGATTCAAGATTACAATAAATTTCAATGCCTTAGGGTCTGATATAAAGTTTAGGGTCAGGTATGAAGATCATAAGTAGCCAATGTAGTCTACTAAAGGTCAGATCGAGGTCTAAAATAAGATCAGACCAAGGTCTAAACCAACTTGCGTTTTTAGGTGAGAACCTGTTGTATGTGGTAGTTTCTGGTGCTCATTTTTGATTTATTAATAACAGGGAACGCAACAAACGTCTTGTGTTCCCTTTTTGAAGGTTGGCGTAGGTCGCTGACATAAATAAACCCAGCTCAATATTTTAGTTTAAGAGAACATACCACCTAGCTTGGAACATACCGTCTAGGACGCGCATTAAAAGCCTTACAACATTGGCAGTTCAAACAGCTTGCATGTCCCGACGCTAGCACTAAAAGTAATACAGTTTTACTGATGGATAAATATCATGGGCTACAGCTTGGAAGTGCCTGACAGCTGAAAATATCGCACAGGATGGCACACATGTTCCTGCTCTCAAAGCATTTAAGTTACTTATCACAGCCCACACGCATGTCAAAAAGAGCAACCCAGCCCTCCCAACTCTAAGAACAAAGTAGGCCAGATTTGAAGAGACATACATTGTGGAATAAACAGGCTAGCCATTTTCCGTGCTCAGCCACCAATTTTTTCTCTCAAAATTTGAGCCTCTAAGAAAGACCTTGCCCTAAGAAAGGGCCTCAGGTGGTCGTTCAATGCTGATGGGTTCTTCATCATTCTGGCTCTTGCCACTTCCTTTGGCATCGCTCCAAACTGAATGTTATGTCTTGCTGGATCTTATCTTAACCCTGAGCCGCATCTTGGTTTCCGCTGGTTCTCTGTACGCTCCAGGCTTGATCTTAGCTCTTGCTGGATCTTGGTTTTTGCGGGATCTTTGACATAATCCCAGGCTTGATCTGGGTTATTGATGGATCTTAGTTCTTGTGGGATCTTGGGACATAGTGTCAGGCTGTATCTTGGTTCTTGCTGGTCTTCTTGGCCCAGCGCCTGGATGGATCCTGGTTCTTGCTGAATCCTTCGGCTTTTTCTCAGGCTGCATCTTGGCTCTTACAGGATCTCTCAGCCTGATATGAGGCTGGATCAAGGTTCTTGCTGAATCTTTCAACTTGGTATGAGGCATTCCTGCTCGCTCTCTCAACCTAATTTCGGACTGGTTTCTGGATTCCTTCTGTTTACGGAGCCAGGAACCAGGCACCTGTTCCCGGGAAGAAAACTTGGAGACCAGGCGCACGTCTGACCGCATGTGCCAGACCACTGAGGCCGATGACCTGCAACCAGCTGAAAAGGCAAGCCACAATGAGCTGGACTCAAACCGGCTTGGTTTGCATCGCCCAACATCCTTGACTTACGCACAGCTCGTTATGTTTCACGTCGTTATCTGCTCTGGTTACGAATATAATACACCAATCTTGGGAGACATGATGTACGCCCGAGCGCGTCTGCCAGGCCGTATACATCGGCCCATTGTGCCACTGTGACGCCGGCTGCTCAATATCTGTTACCAGGTCTGAGCCTCGCTCTGCGGGCTTGTCAAAATTACGGAATTTTTGTTCATTGCACGAAAAGAAACACAGGTTTCATTTCGAATTGTAATGTACCACGAATGTTACGTTTGACAAAAATTACTAACATGCCCTACGAATTCTTACATCACAACTTTAGGCAAGTATGAGAGTTTGATGTACCGGGTCGGGCAAGCCGCCCCAAGTTAGAAAGTTTCCTATTGTTGGAGCAAGATGCCTCTGGCCTGCTGCCTTGCCTGCCCTATTTCATAATAATAACAAGACATACCTCCACAATCACTTAAACCATTAGCATGTTCTGCCACGTATCTCCCTCTCTCTCTCTCTCTCTCTCTCTCTCTCTCTCTCTCTCCTCTCTCTCTTCTCTCTCTCTCTCTCTCTCTCTCTCTCTCTCTCTCTCTCTCTCTCTCTCTCTCTCTCTCTCTCTCTCTCTCTCTCTCTCTCTCTCTCTCCTGACTCTCTCATCCCCCTTTCTCTCACCTTTATGCTTTTCTTTTCCTTGATCATCTTTCCCTGTCTTTCACCATGCCTTTCCTCTCTCCCCGTCTCCTCATATCTATCCGCCATCTTTTCCTTCCACCCGCCGAAGCCGGGCCGAAAATGAACGAGAAGGCCAGCCCAACACGACTCGGGTTGTTGTCAGCCCGTCTCATTTGGGAGCCTCTGATGTATGAGGGGACTGAGATGAGAAATGCCACACCTGCGGTGCGGCATACAAATGCCTGAATACCCGATTTATTTCTGGCGCAGGGCGAAGGCCACCGCACACAGCCAGCCTGTGCCTCAAGGAGACGCTGGCCCCAATAACGCTGCCTACCACCAACAGATGAGAGATGTGGATAGGGCCTCCAGTAGGACACAACCAGGCGGACAAAGCGGGTTGCTGCCTAAAAAATGGGCTACGGCCGAACAAAAACAACAGGCGCACGCGTTTCATGCTAATTCCTCACTTGGCGAGCTAAATACCAAAGGCAAAAGCCAGCTAGATTTAAAGCACTAGACAATTTACCAGTAAGAAAAATATATTTTCGGGTTCGTTAAATTAATCCAGATGACTTTAAAGAAGTTACGTCTAAAAAACGATTTCAAACTTTTATTTCCCAAGACGGGTCGAAGATTTGTGTTCTCCAAAAATCAAAGCATCCTTGTTTCCATTGGAACCATTCTTAACGTTTAAACATTTACAAGTTATTGCATACCTAAAATAAAGCTCCTGTAATGCCAAGATACCGACTAAATCAAGGTAGTATGTCGCTGCTTATCCCGTATCAAATTTAGAAAGCGTGCTTTCGGCAGCCCCTGAAATCCATTAAACTTTGATGGCATTTGAATGGTACTGCACAAAAGAGTATGACCGCTGTTTTTTTCGCCGTAAATTAATGTAATCTCTCTCTCTCACACACACACACACACACACACACACACACACACACACGCGCGCGCGCGCGCGCGCACACACACGCACGCACGCACGCACGCACGCATACATCCCTCTGTTGGGCACACATCGTGACCCAGACTTAACTTTTTCCTCATCTTCTGAAAAACGTGGCGTCATTGATTTTATAACCCGTTATACAATTGAAAACGAATTTATTGCCGATCAGACTAAAACAAAGGAGCCCACAGGATCCATTCTAGATCAGTTACCAATCGAATTTGAGCATTGGTAGACCACACCTGGAGGCACGCCATCAGCCGGTATATTGGGTGACCGGGCGCGATGGGCTGGGTCACTCCGTCGGAAACTGTAATTTTCGTGTGCAATGAAATACGTTTTTTTCGGAAAAACCTGTGGCCGATGCATAAACGTTCCGTCGCGCATTTGAGACATCACTCAGCTCCCTCCGTGCCTTCTTCAGCCGCTGCGTTTTCGACGTACCCCTACAATGGCCAACAATTTATTCTTGCGTGCGGTGCCATTGTGAACCTGGCAAATGTCCAAAAGTGTGCTTGTTATTTACACTGAACTTTCTCCAAAAAGGACAGTACGTAAATAACAGCACGATCATTATAGTACCTGATCAACAGAATTTATAGATAGATAGGTGACGGGGACACGTAGATAGGTGACGGGGGCAGGAAACACGCCCATCACGTTTGCTGGCGTGGACAAAGAAACAAATTAGTTCTGACAGAACGGACAAATCTATCCAGCCGAGGGCAGTGATGTGCGCGATTATTCCAGGGTGAGCCTTGAGATCATGGCCACGATAATCATGAATCAGTCATGAATCGTGAGATCGTGATTTCGCGATCCGGGCTTGCAGTTCCATGACTGATCGCGATCTGCCCGTTAATTCGGAGGTTGTGTTCACAGATTCTGTGGCTGGGACATACCCACTAGTTGTCGGGATTGCATTAATATTCTAGACACCGGATGAGTACGTGTTTTTAAAGCAGGCCCTATGCGTTTTCCCCAGCGTCTACCTCAGGTATTTTTTGCGCACACTTCCACTTGTTCCTTTGTGCTTCGGGTCTAATGGCTCTGCGAATGTTTTCAGATTGGCACGGCAATTCTGCACATTTCAGACAAAATACCAAGTTTTTCACCGCACTCATCATAATATCGCTACGCTACGCAAGCCGTTTTGTCGCCCTTCTTCGACTACCTCAACCGATCCTTGTTATTGAGACCTTTGCTTAGAGGCACTTATTAAGAGCAGTAAAACTGCAGGTGTTCATTTTCCGGTCCGGCCAACACGGTCTTACAAACACTAACCCTGTTTTGTCCCCGGACCGGCGTCACTCGTAGCCGGGGTTGAATTAGACGCCTCCTGTATCGAATTTAATGTGCGTTGTTCCAGGCGAGCTGGGCCAGCACACAAGGCGGCATTTTCCAATGCAGGCCAAATTGGGAAATAAGAAGTGAGGCTTGGGACCAGCTGTTTCTTTCTTCTCATGTTGAGCCTCAGCCCAAATTTATATGATGGTTGCTGACGTGCTGTGAGGGACGTTGCCATGTACGCGACTCGCAAGGGACGACAGGTACGTTAGATCGATCAACACGCACTCGTCATTCAGCCATAGTTGTAAGGTTAAGAAGGATGTCTGAGTGACCGGTTTTAAGGCTGAAACGGTGGCTTTAATGTCTCTGTCACAGTCACCGACGGCATGAGAGAGCCGATCGCGCCCGGTCACCCGATGTACCGGCCGGTGGGCACAAGGCCTGCCGCCAGGTGTGATCACCAGTGTTCACCCGGTCACCCGATATACCGGCCGGTGGGCACAAGGCCTGCCGCCAGGTGTGATCACCAGTGCTCACCCGGTCACCCGATGTACCGGCTGGTGGGCACAAGGCCTGCCGCCAGGTGTGATCACCAGTGCTCACCCGGTCACCCGATGTACCGGCCGGTGAGCACAAGGCCTGCCGCCAGGTGTGATTACCAGTGCTCACCCGGTCACCCGATGTACCGGCCGGTGGGCACAAGGCCTGCCGCCAGGTGTGATCACCGGTGCTCACCCGGTCACCCGATATACCGGCCGATGGGCACATGGCTTGCCGCCAGGTGTGATCACCAGTGCTCACCCGGTCACCCGATTTACCGGCCGATGGGCACATGGCTTGCCGCCAGGTGTGATCACCAGTGCTCATCCGGTCACCCGATATACCGGCCGATGGGCACATGGCTTGCCGCCAGGTGTGATCACCAGTGCTCACCCGGTCACCCGATATACCGGCCGATGGGCACATGGCTTGCCGCCAGGTGTGATCACCGGTACCCACCCGATATACCGGCCGATGGGCACAAGGCCTGCCGCCGGGTGCGTTCACCAGTGCTCACCCGGTCACCCGATGTACCGGCCGGTGGGCACATGACCTGCCGCCAGGTACAAGTGCTATACAAGTGCTATACCTTGATACAAGTGCTCACCCGATATACCGGCCGATGGGCTCAATGCCTGCCGCCAAGTGTGATCACCAGTGCTCACCCGATACACCGGCCGATGGACTCAATGTCTGCCGCCAAGTGCGATCACCAGTGCTCACCCGATATACCGGCCGATGGGCTCAATGCCTGCCGCCAGGTGTGATCACCAGTGCTCACCCAGTCACCCGATATACCGGCCGACGGGCACATGACCTGCTGCCAGGTGTGATCACCAGGGCTCAAATACGATTGGTGACCGATCTAGAATGGATCCTGTCGAGCCGTTTTTTTCTCAGTAAGGCAATAAGCTGGCCTTCAAGTGCATATTGGCGCTACGAAAATTGAAGGGCTCCGGGCTCTAGGGAAGTGCCGCCTCCTTGGTCTTGGGGAAAGATGCTGAAATCGTAATCCAGCAGCACTAGGTAAAAGTCTCAGAACGGGCGCATTGTTTAGCCAGATGAATTGGAAAGGTCAGTCGGGTACTGACCAACCGGAGGGTTAACTCAGGCTTGAGACAGCTGTGCCGAGAAGCATTGTGCGGTACGTAAAGCACTCCGCGTTTCTGTCTGCCGAAAGGGGGAAGGCAAAACTATCCGCTTAACTGGACAGTGTAACTTAAGTGGTGGATTCAGTGTAAACGCAACAAGGTAGGCTTAGCAGGTGCTCTGAAGCCAAAGCCGCCTGTGCGAACAATCCAGAACGAACTCTTCAATGAAGGTACCGCATTTCTTTCTGAATCCTTGGTCGAAGGTAAAACTTGGTCTCTTTACGTACCTACTTGACTTTAAATGCGTTTTCCACTTCTCGTTTTTTGCACATGCCCAAAAATTACACTCTGCAATCTGTTTTTGCTGGTGCAAGTACCATAATAACATTTGCAACGTCATCGTTTCTTTTCATCTGTTCCTAGCTCCTTATCAGTAAGCAGCACAACCCTAAAACAGAACCATGCGTGGGTCCTCAAAATACATCATATACGCGTTTTCGTCAACTTCACTGGGGTGCCGTGCTGTTCATCCTCCGGTCCATTTGTCTTGGAATGACTCATGTAAAAATGACAAGCGCAAACGTACATACCTGATCATCTAATTTCTATGTTGTTCATCGACACAGTAACGTTCAATGCGCAACATCTCTCGGACTGTGTGTTCAGACATAACCTTGTCCGGCTAAGGCGCTTGGCGGGCACGACCACCCAGCGGCTGCAGCCCGTTTCAGTCCCTCTCTGAGCTCAGCCTGTCTGGCTAAGGCGCTTGGCGGGCACGACCACCCAGCGGCTGTAGCCCGTTTCAGTCCCTCTCTGAGCCCAGCCTGTCCGCCTTAGGCGCGTGGTGGGCACGGCCACTCGGTGGCTGCAGTCCGTCCCAGTCCCGCTCTGAGCTGACCCTGTCCGGCTTTGGCGCGTGGTGGGCACGGCCGCTCGCCGGTTGCAGTCCGTCCCAGTCCCGCTCTGAGCTGACCCTGTCCGGCTTAGGCGCGTGGCGGGCACGGCGCCAAATAGCGCCTCGTAAAGGGCAAATTCGGTCGGCCTGCAGCTGCTGAGGCGTCGTAAATCCGCGCGCTTCCCCAACCTCGACGATGATGCCGTGCCGGGCGTCCCTCTGTCCGGACCATTCGCCGCGCCAGATGAGGATGCAGCACGCACTAGCAGCCCCGTTTAGCTCCACCGTAGCGCGCTGGCAACGAGTGTGTTGTTCGTGCTGGTTCGGTGTTTACTCGGTGTGACGTCCGGGATGGGTATGCCCGACTTTTAATAACACGCGCTCCGGTGGCTGGTTGAATAAGACGCACTTGGGTTAGGGGAGGGTAAGGAGGGAATTTGAACCCCTCGACATACACAAAACTAAGAGGTTCAAAGGATTCAAATATTTGCCGTACGTAAACCTCTATATACAGTTATCTACGCTAAATTCTTGAATTTTGCAAGATCTTAAACCCTTGCACCGTGGATTTGATGTGGAAACCTGATGGCTTTCCTCATAAAGGAGAACAACAGGAAATTACAATGGTTTTAAAATACCAATTTATGGCATTTTTGCGCTTGTCCTAATTAAGGATGGTTACCAGTAACATGTATATTTAAATCAAGAGTGTTCCTACTTCTTATTCAGTTCAGGTCTCAACTCCTCTAAGTTTGTGAAGAAGTTTGCTTATTTGGGAGGCATCCATATTTGGGGTGGGGGGGGGGGGGGGGTACATTGCATAATTTTTCACCGACCCCAAAGATATCTTTAAAACCATGCCCTTCTTTGAAATACAACTCTTTCATCTATGTTTGGTGGCTTTTGAGCAATTATTATCATTTCAACCTTTTGGTAACATGAATCCTGGTTGCTCGAAACTTATATGATACTCAATGATGTAGCCTATGGGAAAGCAATGAAGGTGAGAAGTGGAGTGGTGTAAGAAATGTAGGCAATGATAAGGTGGGGGGGGGGGGGGGGGAGGGTTGCGGGTTTCAGTGCTATCTCCCTTTTACCGAGCGTTTTACTTCAAATAGCAGGTGGTTGTATAGTATTGTGCTCCAACTGTCCTATGAGGTCAGTGAAGGATCGACATTTGGCTGTCTCTGAAGACAATGTTGGCTATTTCCTGATGATAGCACCCCTGCTGCAACAGGAAAGCTCAAGGAGACATTCATTTTGCAGTGCCCATTCATGTGTGTATTTTCTTAATACCTGCAAGCATTGCATGGATGCAGATATGGTGTGTTTCTTTCTTGCTTTGGTAACATTGAATTATAAAATTGCCATGATGGAATCATTAGCATAATCACTGTTACATTTAAGCACAGGCTGCGACGACAGACAGCCTACCTTATATGCAGCCTACATTGACATTAGAAATCAACATAGTTTGCGTGGTGGTTGCATGACAGAAGTGCCAATTATGCAAGATTTGGGGAGGTAGCGACCCATGGATCATGATCAATAAATTATGTCCAGAGAAGACGGTTGTGTGTTATAGTCAGTTTGTTCTCCTATCTTTTTGTAATTTTTCAGCTGGAAATGTTGGCTGGGGGGGGGGGGGGGGGAGAGAAATCAGCATCAAAGGGGCGCAACCAAACATGTGGCGGTGGCATAAGGACAGGATTGTCAATTGTTATGCATGATTAGGGGAGCTAGCAACCCATGGATCGTGATCAATAAATGAAGTTAGAAGGGTGGTTATGTGTCACAGTTAGTTTTTCCCATATCCTTTTAATTTTCCAGGTAGAAACATTGGCGGGGGGGGGGGTGAGTTATCAGCATTGAGGTGACCCAACCCAGCATGGATATTGGCTAGTGCCCCAGAAATTAATCTGAATTGAAACTTGCATTGTGCAATACATACATTGCGGGTAACCTTAGGTTTGCATGCTCCTTGCATGCAAAGGGCAATTTTAGCTTGCTGATTGAATTTCCACCAATACGTGGACATTGGTAATTAAATGTTTCACTCTGCTCTGGCAGTTGATGTTTCCATGAACCGAAATGCAGATTTTTACACCACCATATATGAAGTAAATAAAAGCGATGGCAGCCACTTATTTTAACCCCTACCCTGATTCGTCAGTCTGACGCGGACTGGTGGAGAGGGGGGGAGGGGGATTCCCTGACGTTTGCAAACTAAGAAAGGTAAAGCCTTGCCAAAAAACACGCAAACAGTGGACTGTCTTTAGCGAGATCTTGTGATTGGTAAGAAGTCTCCTGTTGTAGACTGACTCCACTAGACCGAGGTGAAGCTAAAGTTTTCCTGAAAACCAAATATCGGCTTTGCATGTTCATATATACAAAACCATGTCATGAAGTTACATAAGACATAAAGAGGTGTGCCCCTTGTTTGATTACGAGTACAATGACATGCAGTTTTATCTGTTTGGAGCCTATATATAATGTAGGGTTTCGTTCATATAACGGTGCCAAGCCACCGCACGCGGTCCACAGAATCGTCGCTTGTTTCCTGCTGCACCCGCTAGCCTTGAATCGCCCTGCAACGTCGTAAAAACATCGCTTTCTGAAATCAAATTGCTAGGGACACTTTTTTGTGTCAACACGCGTTCAATGGATGGCCCATAGGCTATCAAAGATTTGAGCACGACTGCACAATGTGCCGCATTGGTATCCTCAGAAAACCGTAGGGGGGGGGGGGTCGCATCATCCACCCTCCCCTCTCCTGTCAGGGCGAGTAACCTGTTCAGAAAGAGCTCTCCGCTAAGTCTAGGAGCTAAAGAGCAATCGCCTGATGTGAAGTTATTTACAAATTACGATATAGCTGCCGGGGCATGGCGAGAGGCGCCCACCAATCACAACATGTCGCGCCGGGCTTGGAGCACGCCCAAGGTGGACACTTTGAGGACGGTTGAGATGGGGCTCGGAGCGCACACATGATTTTCATAGGCGAGCACGGCCTTGTGGATGCCCCCTATTTGACGTCATTCCCAGTGCCGATTGCTACTGGCCCGGAATCTGCCACGTATTCTGCTGCCATGGCTATCGAGATCCTTCGCTGTTTTTTGCGGTCGAGGAAAGCAAATCCAGCCGTAGATCGAGTTTGAACGTGAGGCCCCGGCAAGTCCCCAGGATGGAAGAAGACTCCTGTTGTGATTGGGCTATCTCATTAGTTTACGGTGGGTGCGTCTACTTTCCTAGCAGCATCACTTATCCTGACAGTTGTTCGAGGGCAGTGTATGGCTGAACGTTTCGGTTATGTGCATGATATCGCAAATTGCAGTGATGAAAGAGACTTTCGATGATAGGCTGATCACTGATGACGCTTCGGGCACGAAATTAATTACCATGTTGTCATCTGGTATCGCATTACGCTACTGGCGGCAATTTTTCCTAAAAAATTTGGTCTGCGACAAAAAGTACTTTTGTTCCACCCCTCGCAGCCTTATAGGCTGGAATCAGTGATAAGTCGGTTGAAATAGTGAAGAAGTTACAATGCATATGATTGAACCGACAATTCGTGTGTAAGGAGCGAGTAGAGCACAAAACACATTTTTCACTTATTACTCAACTCGTTGCATGTTCCACGCGTGCCTTCGTATTCCCAAAAGACCGGTTGGTCTCATAAAAACCCTTGCCATCAGAGTCGGCTCGTCATTGACTTTGAAATTCAGCCATCTCTCCTTGAATCGGAATTTGAGTTTATTCTAAATGTGATGTGCGCATTGAGGTCAATGTTGGAGTCCATCTCGACGCCGCGGATCTGAGTCGCAAGGTCTTTATGCTGCTAATACAAAAATTAGTCACACGCCAGGTGCCACAAATAATTAAATTGCTTTCAGTTGGATACGAGCTTCACATCAGAAGGCTAGTTTTTCCTTCATAACATATCTTAACCCTCACCCTAATGGGGGAAGCTGATGCCCGCCCCCGCCATGTTTCCTGAAGATATGAGTCTGGAAATTGTTGCAGTCGCATCCACATGCACGGCAGTCATGCTATCAGGTGCAAGAAAAATATCCCTATGAGTAAGTGCTACAGACCGACTTACCTTCAGACCTATTCCCATCACACTAAAGTCATCATTAGACAGACAAAGTCAGATGCAGATATTTCGACGATGATGCGATATTAAATTGCCACAACACATTGCATATCGCATGTTATTACATTTCACAGGATGCTGCGCACGAATGTGCCCTCCACTTTTCCACACGCAAGCGTCCATGCCTGTAAGAAAAGAGGTGGCTGTGGTCCCATGTGGGACAGCCCTCCGAAACTCCTTCGAGCTCTGACGTTCTGGTCGGCTCCTGGTCGATGACTGGCCAGCTTAAAACGCAGCATGCACGCTTCGCAGCTGTTGGCGCGGTGCATGCGGACGGGCTGGACTCTGGAGTCGTTACCCCCGTGCCAGACTCTCAAACAGGGCGGTGTACAGTGGGCCGTGTAGTGGCCCGAGCGCGCCACGCCTGAATGGTGCGTCACGCCCTACAGCTTATAAATTCAGTCTCCTGGTACGGCAGAGTATGGTGACAGCTCCAGACCACTGGCGGAAAAGTCCACTGCGATATTGAGCTTGTACCCGCTCTGGTCCAGCTGCAGCAAGAGTCGTTTCAGGTGCGCTACAAGGATCTGGGGAAACTTCTGAACTTTGAAGTTTTTGGAGCACTTTTACTCTTCTGACACATGGAGCACGTGGGTTTTTCTCCGCCAAACACCTCTCCCTTGGTAAAAAGGTCAAAGTAACCATGCAAGCGCACCTGACCGGTCATGGATGGGATCGATAGGCTCAGGTTCCAGGAAGAGTTAAACGTCACGGACGCGTGACCGCACGCTTCGAGTTCTTCCAGGAACAGGAAATGCTTTCAGGCCTCCAGCTGTTTCTAGTTACACAAAGGTGTCCTCAGAAAGAGTCATGCGTCAATTATATTGAGCTCCTATGGCAATGGGGCCAAAGCCCTACAAAACCATCTTCTATTTTAAGTAAACCTCTCGGCTTAGGGGAAAGACAATGGAATCTGTCCCCCCCCCCCCATACGTTGCGTACATTTACCACACCACCTCGTTCCCTATTGCCTCTTCATTGTCTGCATTGCTGGTTATCATGTTAATTTTCAGCAGCCAAGATTAATACGCACGAAAAAGTTAAACTGGAAATGATTCCCATTTTAAGGCGAACAAAACATTAATGGACTGATTACATTTTCAGCATGGACATAGTTCAAAAAAATAGGTTGGGGAGCTGAGAAGTGAAAACTTATGCAATTTACCTCCAGCATATAGGTGGCTCCCGAGATTGGGACCTTTCTTCACAAATTTGGGGTGGGAATTGAAACCTGAACTAAATAAAAAACTAGGTGCATCTCTGATCAAAAAATTCATTGACTAGCAACCATACCCAGTCAGTAACAAAACAAACGTGACATGGATTGGCACTTCAGAACCACTCTCACCTGTCATTTCCTTTAACGAGTAGTGTCATTAGCTTTCAACATCGAACTCACGGATCTTTTCAAAGGAACGGAGGCTCGGTGCTTGCGACTGCTACGGGGAGTCAGCAGCGTTGTTTTGCCTTGAAAAGACCGTGGATAATGTCAGGTAAGTTTTTACCTCGATCAGGTCATCTCGCCGACTTCTCTTGAACTGTCAGCGCCCAGAAATAAAACCTAGGTGGCGTTCATGAAACCGCAATGCGTACGCCGCTTACAAAGCAACAGTACATAGCACACAAGTGGAACATCCCTTAGGACCAGGTGAATTGCCTGATATAAATTTTTCAGTATCTTTTACTGTCTTATTGTGACATTGAGAATGGCCTCGTAAAAACAGAAAATCGGCAGACCGGCCGGGGCGTAGGAAACACGCCGATTTGTGGCCGATCTATCACACAATTGGGAGACCAAAGAAAAATCATGGAATATTTTTGTCGCTGGGCTGGGATTAAACCCCCAAAAGATACCATAGTGCGTAGGGTAAAAGGTCGTACGGAAAGGCTTGCTGGTGTTGTGTGACGAAATGTCTTACCATGGAGGCCTCATATTAGGATGTGCGGTGCGCGCTGCAAGATTTCGCGCACAGCGCACACTGTCATTGCGACACCCAAATTTCCAGTTTAAAGGATTTTGGCACGACTGAAAATGTACATTTTTGTCGCTAACCTGATGCAACAAGTCTGCGCATTTTATCGCCCCCGCGTATAAGTACGAGTAAAACGTTCCAGTATCAAGAGTTTTTGAACTTCAGACTTAAACACAGACAAAGGGTCCCCAACAAAGGAATTTCGAACTGTGGCGCGAGACAATCAGAAGTGCATTAGAAACGCATTCGTAAACCAGGCACCTTAATAGCAACTCTTTGACCGTAGCATTTGCAACTGGAAATCGTCATCATTTTCTGGGTAGTGTTCTAATTTGTAGTATCATGTTTGATTATCCGCCGCCCACTAATACAACAATGACGGCCTCTGCTCTCCATGAAACGTCGCGAGCCTACTTTGCCGTGCATCCCATTAGCAAAACTTGTCCTGTCACCCTGCGCGCCTGCACAACCTAACGCCACAGGAGATTCACCCGACTGCACCACTGCATCTGGGGGGAAAATTTTCCAAAGCGCCTGTTTGGCTCCAGTGCTGCCCTGACCTTCTCTGGCCCCGCAGGAGTCCTGGCGACGACCCCTGACGCTGACCCTGACGTAAATGCCGCTGACGGGGTGACACCTCCTGACCCCGGTCAGTCCTCGGCGGATGTCCTGAATACGGCGGCGCCACTGAACGTGGCCGGTGTCCCGGCAGATATGCTGGCACCAGGGGCACTCCTGACCTTCGCCGACCTTGCAGGTGTCCTGGATCCGGCGACGCGACTTCCACGTGCTGACGTCTCGTTCGCACGTGTTCACCGCCGACGAGCGGGTGTCGGTGCAGCACAGAGTGGCCGGTGACGAGGACTGGGCGCTATCCATCTGGCCGGTGACAGCGGCTGACAGCGGCGTCTATGAGTGCCAGGTCAGAGCTTCCCCTCTCCCCCCCCCCCAAAGCCCGCCTACGCTGAAGCTGGGCGGAAGCAGTGCCATCGAAATAGCGGGGCTCATACCGCTCCATGCCCCCTTCCATAGCCTTGCGCTCCGTCACCATTCCTCTCGCCCGCTTGCGCTGGAGTCAGCCACCGGAATGGCAGGGTTCATGCCACCCCATACCCGCTTCCACAGCCCTGCGCTCTGTCGCTCCCCCCGCCCCCCCCCCCCCCCCCACCCCTCTCACGTGCGACCTTGTTGTTTCCACGGCCTGGTGTCCCGAGTCATGGGTGCGTTTGACCGTTTCCCGAGTATCAATTTGCCGAGGCTGGCATCCGTTTGGTACCGCGGGGACGGGTCAGTGGGTTCAAAACACCACGTCAGGTCAGCGTTCCGCCAGAGCGCACCAGTGCCGGGGTGCTGCGGCTGGGACGCCAAAACCATGTCCAAAGGTCCGATCAGTGCACTGGGCTACCCTACGAAGTCGGCAGCTATTACGGTGGTTGCAAGTCACCGTGGGATGCCATACAAGGTGCTTTTCTGCTAACAGATCAGTATTTTCCGCGTGACCTTCCAGTAATCCTAACGCAATGCTGCACAGCTATTCTCGGACACGCGCGCAAGAACAGATTGATCGGCGTATCCAGACAGGTCACACTATCTAGGCAGGACGCCAGCTACCGGAGCGAGTGCCAGAGGGAAATGTTGCTTCTAGCCAAGGGATGATTGGAAACGCTTGTGCGTGAAAAGATGCTTATAATATGAAAACGAGCAAGCAACTTCGGAATGTTTATGCAGTTATTTACGTTGCATCCGTTCCAAAACAGTATTTCTGATAGTGCTGCTTGCGATTTTCAGGTGTCAACCGGGCAGGGCACGCTTTCGCGTCTTGTTAACCTCACAGTTGTGGAGCCGATTGCCAGAATATTGGGAACTGAGGTTCACAGGATAGAAGAGGGCTCGGTGATCACCCTTCTCTGCGTTATAGACCAGGTAAGCCGCTATGTGTGGAAGATGTCCCAATAGCAATAGGAAATGTGTTTGTCCGTGCAAATGAGGGGTAGTTCTGTGTGAGTAAAGGCTGGTGCAGTGCTTTATTGTTTATCCTTGAGTGATCATTGATCCGCCAGTATGCTTGCTCTCGGGGTTTCATAGGTGCGGTGCCCTTTCGTGAACCGTGCTGTATTTCGAGATCGCTCGAAATGCAGTGGTCGGGATTTTCAGCAGTACGCTTCGGTTCGTTTACCCCCTTCACAGCTATTTGTATCGCGCAATGAACCCTCTTTGTGGTCATGCTGAGTTATGATTCCGCTTTATTGTGGAGTTTGTTCGTTGTACCTTGTAATTATTTTGCTGAACCTTGGCTTTTGTATCCGCCTATAAGGAGGCAAACAATCTTGGCCCTCCTATAATGGCAATGTTTTAGTCCACAACGATGTGACTGAAAACTAAACATAAAAGTAACACTTTTTCATGTTTTGGATATTGATTGTTGAAATATTCTGGTCTGCGACCAGAATTTTCCACTCATTGTAAACAAGTTTAAATAAAAAGACCGTTTTTGTGCCACCATGACTTTAATGCTGTGGTCATCTGTTCCATGATGCTGCATAATCTAGTACTACGCTTTCAGTAAACGATTGCAAATCCATCGGACTAGCCAGATGCGCGTCGGATGGTCGTTAGTGTTAAACGAGGAACCTACTGCAGTCGCCATGTTACAGTTCTCCTCTTTGAAATGGCTGCTCCGATATAACGCATCGCTGATGCGTTCCCGCGACCAAATCCGGAAGCTGACATTCATTGCCCAGAAATGCGCTGGAGACAAGTTCTGTCGTAATTCGCAAAATTCCATCAAAGACGCTTGGCAATTGCCTATATGCTTCCCGAACGCACTAGCCGGTGAGTTACTATTCACCTAACACTTCCGAGAATCGGTTATGACCTGTCATCGGCTGTTATTGAACGAGTGCAGCGGCGGGAGGACGGCTACCAAAGGTCGAGCGGCGCTGTCGGAAACTGCAGCAGGCGCTGATCCTGTCCCACGGAGATCAGAAGCGCTGATTATCCGAGGTGGAGGCCGAGACAGGCGCTGATGACCTCAGGCAGAGACCGATGCAGGCGCTGATGACCTCAGACATAGGCCGATACATGCGCTTATAACCCCGGTCAGTGACCGAGAGAGGCGCTGATGACCTCAGACATAGGCCGAGGCAGGTGCTGATGACCCCAGGCAGCGATCGAGAGAGGCGCTGTTGACCACAGGCAGAGACCGAGGCAGGTGCTGATGACCTCAGGCAGAGACCGAGGCAGGCGCCGATGGTCTCAAGCAGAGACCGAGGCAGGCGTTGATGACCTCAGGCAGAGGCCGTGGCAGGTCCTGATGACCTGAGGTGCGGAGACTGATACAGGCGTTGAGGACGTCAATATGAATGAAGCAGCCGCTGACCATGCCAGGTGGAGCCTGCAACAAGCGCTGGTCATATCGGGCGGAACACTGAGCCAAGGGCGGATCCAGAACACCGCCATTAGCGGGCTGCCTGCCAAGCCTGGAACAAGCGCTTGCCATATCAGGTGGAAGTTGAAGCGAAGTTCGGATCCAGGACGTCACCAATGGGGGGGGGGGGGGGGTCCAAAGTCGGACGGCAATCCTCTCTTGGAAACCAAATCCCCGCTCTGGCTTTAAAAACCGGTTCTGGCTTAGGAAAAAAATTTGCTTCTTCCCATCCCAAGGAGTGTTCGAGACAAAACTATCCGAGTAAAATCTACCTAGTTTTTCTTCATCGTCTAAGAATGTGTCATTTTTCCCAACTTGGGCCATCTTGGGGAGGGACATAGCCAGGCTGCCCCCCCCCCCCCCTCCTGGATCCTCACTTGACTGCAACGGACACTGGCAGTCTTATGCCTAGGATCCGCCATGGTTCTTTGATCTTGGATAGAGTTTCACTCCGTTCCATGCTTGACGGTGGAGGAGCTGTATTTGTTTCCTTGTTTCCATAAATGACGGTGATGATTTGGCCAATTATTTCGCAATGAAATTGGAATTAGAGCACAGTCGGGGCTGTTAATGATTGGTGCTGCTAGGGCGCCTGCGCTGGTGTGAGGAGGGTGGGTGGCAGGTGCGGAAGCTTCATATTCCACCAGGTACTGTAGTTCGCGGACGCCCTGAAGCTTCATGGTTTCAGTGCCGCTCTGTGCCTGTGTGTGTACTTCTTTGCGCCCAGTTTATGCAGAAATGCGGTTAAGTGTTTCTCATTTTTGGAGCACGGTTCATTACGCTACTGCTGCCGGCGAAGTAAACGGCTAAGATGAAAACACGACTAGCAGACAGAGTATTTTCGCAAAGAGTAGGACAACAGTGTTGGCGAGCTCTCGAACGCCCGTAGCGTTGGTGGCGCGAAAACTCTTCGGCTGCTTAACAGTGGAGCAAACAAGACAGCTAGATGTGCTCAAATAGAGTGCAATGTTTCAGTTATGGGAGCATCGTTAACATGAAGGCATAGAGAGCATCGTTTTTTTGGCCAGAAACGTTATTCGGTAGTTTGTAAGGGATGTAAACATGTAGTGATGCGCAAGCCTAATTGAAACTGTACCCGAAAAATTTAGAATGTAATGGTTTTGTAAGTCAACTCTTCTATTTTCTGCCCGTACCGGGGGCATGACACCATTTTTCTGAAATGCCTGCGATAAAGCTGTATCCCCTTCCCCACCAATCTTCACCCACGAGCGCGTGTAGTCGTCTTTAGCGTGAGCGCGTCCGCCGTCCCGCCAGACAGTGACCCGACACCGTGTCAGCGCCGGCTGACGGCGTTCGTGCCCGCAGGCGACATCGGAGGTGGGCCCCATCCAGTGGTGGCGCAACAACCGGACACTGGTGGCCAGCGGACGGGTGACGGTGCAGTCCAGCTCGGACGGCACCGCCGGCAGTCCCCAGTCGCAGCTGCACATCCGGCGCGCCTCGTTCCTCGACAGCGGCCTCTACACGTGCGGCGGCGACCACCTGCTGTCCGCCACCGTCCAGCTGTTCGTGACCGAAGGTGGGCCGCTCGGCACAGTCGGGGACACGTGCTGGGACGCCCGGTCAGGCCGGAGCGGCGGGCGTGCAGCGCTATGTCGTTGGCAGAGCTGGTTGGAGCATCGAAACCAGGCGAGCCGACGTCCGTGCGACAGGTGGGCTTTGTTACCTGCGTACGTTCCCGGTTATCCAAAGGTGTCACGCTGTGCTCGCCACGGGAATGGTCGCGGCAGGGTCAAACAGCACCAACATCACAAATCACTCGCCGCGAACATTTCGATGATTTTAGGTCCTTCAAACTTTCAGGTGAAAGTGCTGGTAACACTTCAGTACCCTCTGGTCTTGGTGGTCGACCTCTGCTTAAAATGAAGAAAATTGCTGCATGGGAGTCGTATGGCCGATTATGCATTGGCGTACGCGATATTATGCAGTCGATGAAGTACTTAGGCAATAGTGCAGGTCTGAGATTAGAGACACCTCAGTTAGCAATAAGCGTTGGAGGAACAGAAAACAAAAAGCGCACTTTTGTCATAATGCTATTATTTTCTAAAACATTAGTTTAACAGGATTAGTGTGTGCAGTGCAATGAGTGTCGCCAGTTAAGTCACTCGCATTGGATCTGAAAGGGTAAGCTGCGATCGGTATAGTTTGCCGATGCGTTGCGTTTGTTGCACGTGCTTGCTCCGGTGCGCTGCTGGCAGTTGCGGAGACGGTTGGCCTGCCGTGTCGCTCGAGTCCTGCGATTAACTGAAACTCCGCACGCATGGTGCCCCGATTAGCGGCGAGGTGAAGTGCGATAAGCCGGGCAGGTTGGAATGGTCATGTGTTTTAGCCTAGCCGCTTACGCTCAGCCCCGAAAACTAATTTAAGGATCGTGTGTGTGTGGACACCGATTTGGGTCGAACGCCATGCAACGATTTAGATCGGGTTGAACGCTCAGTTTGACATAACGAATGGTGGTGGCGATGTGTGCCCATTCGTTTTGGCCTTCCTCCATCAGTGCTATGCACACGTGGGTCGCCACCGTCGTTTGTAGGAACACTCTGGAGTCGGCAATATTCTGGTATCTGTTTCAATGCTTTAGTCGCTTTCAAATCTTTCCTGAAAACGTTCAGATCTTTCCTGGAGGCATTCTAGAGGGTGTTTCCAAGAATGAACCATAGAAGGTGTCAGGGCTTTTCCAAGAATGAACCATGGAAGGTGTCTCCTTGCCCCGATACAGAAGTGCCTCACGTTCGTGATTGACCTGCTCACAGCATGTTTTTCCATCGCCCGAATTCGTCATGCAGTGATACCGGCCTCCTCGACGAGCAGATTATCTCGCGGAATAACCCGGAGTGCTGGAGATTTGTCAGAAAGCTCGTTCAGTACTACCAACGAGTACAACTCTGCAGATAATAAGCCATGCTAAGGGACAATCCCGCATAAGTTTCAGGGCGTGCTCAAGACTGAGGACCTGCTTTCGCCATGCCTGGCTAGATATTCGGCCACGCGTGGCGCACATGCGAGACGAGACCAGAGGATAATTTACCGATCTGTCGAACGCCAACGGAGATTCCCCGTGGATGATTATGCGGCTGAAAATTATTGCATGAATAATTCCTCCTCGGCCGAACCCGCCGTGAGAGTGCGGCTCGGGTGAATCTTTGTGATGGTCGTCCAGCACTTTTTGCGCCAGGAAGGTGCGATTGTCTGCTGCTGACGTCACTAGCTCGCGCAGCTTCGTCGTACAGAAATCAATGTTTGGCCCGGCTCTGTTCAGAAAGAATAGAGCACAACGTCCCGAACATAGACGCGTTATTTTCCAAACTATGTATCGGCATCGGTGCCAGCAGGCACCAGCTGAGATGTTTGAGATGCTGGCTTAGATTCGGAGACGTTATAAGAGGCGTTGGTCTCCGTTTTGTGTTCACAACAGCATTCATCTGTTATATCAGCAGAAATTTAACATATATCCTCCCACCCCATCCCACCCACCGTCGTGCGGCTGACGGTACCATGGGACGATTTATGGCTAAATGACGTAAGCTCTCCAGCAAAAGAGCTCGTACTAACAGCGGGCTTAATTCTCTTTTCAACTGTATCTCTCAGGGTTGGGAGGACCATAACAAAATCGCTGCAGTCCACACCACATAATGCTTTGTTTTATATACGATCCTTCAAAAGATAATTATAAATGCTCCAAGATTACTTCGGCATTTTAACGTTAGCTGGGTGGTGCTGGGCATAATTTTGCAATAAATCCCGGCGGCGTCGGCGCCATCTTGTGCCGGGGGGAAATCGACGTCGAATATAAACCGGCTCCATAATACGGCTGATAGGCCGTGATCAAGCAACCCGAGGAGCTTCGCATTCATCCGCGGTGTTTATCTGAGGCGTTCATATTGGCTGGTCTACTGGCCCTAGTGAAGCCGGCACGAAGCAGCTGCGGATGATGAAGCTGTTCTCCTCAGTCAGCGGCAGCTGCCACCGATCGAGCCGCAGCCGTGGCGGGACGCCCGCCGGTGATGCCAAAGCCACAGTCTGGCCAAAGCCGGAGCCGAATCGCAGGGATTTCTGGCCAAAGCCGCAGCCTGAACGGAGTCGGAGTCTGATCGCAGGAGCTGGGTTGGGAGACGGGGTAGTAAGTAGCCGGGGAATTGCTCACGAGTTGTGTAAGGAAGTACTTCAGAGCTGGTCACTGAAACATTGATAGGTTAGAGCCGCCGAAGGGAACAGGATCCGTGCACCACATCAGTGGAGGACACCTGGCTGGCGTGACTGTGGCGGCGTGAGGCATCCTCATGTCGCGCCAGCTGGTGCATTACGTGAGGAGCTTTCCTCCAAAGCGCTTACGGAGACGGCAATGCTATGGACCGCACTGAATTGTCTTTAAAATGGCGGTCTCAGCTCAAAACCCCGCACATATGTGAAATACACCCTTAATTTAAAGGGCGCGGTATAATTCAAATAGCATGCATGTCGTTGTCAATATTCAAGGACACATGGTGCAAGCGATGTGCGCACATTTCTGTATCGTAGCAGTTTAGAACCAGCGTAAAATGCGCTTATCGAACGAGCGAAGAATGTTCGTATGGTGAAGGCACAAAGTGATCAGCGCGTTGAATAAAATAGTCATAATTTGTGTCTTGTCGTTAAGAATGATGCGTATGGTGCCAAAAACGGTTCCTTTTCTGACAAAATCTTTGGAAATTTTAATAGCACTCTATGATGAAATACTAATGCCATTGTCTCATGCCAGATATAAAAAATAAAAGCTCTTGAGATGGTCATTCCACAGCAAAAAAGCGGCAATCGAATGCTATCTTGAGATAAGTTGACTAAAGACATGACCAAGGGGCCGTATTTCCCCTTCCTGGGCTAAGAGTTTACACTACATACTGGGCAATTTGGTAAGACTTTGGACCAAAACGCAGGATTTTTTAGACAATTTAGTATTTCCCTGGAGGAAATTTTGGCTACGTACCTGGAGTCTATTTCAGGAATCCATACCATGTCCTTAGCGATTATGGAGGCCCTAAGCAGCCGCATATAAGCAGATATCCCTCCTCAGTAAACTTTTAATGCCGTGAAACGAGCTGCAGCCTGATAAATCGAGAGGTAAGACGGACCAACCGGGACGATGTCAGCCACATGGTCCAAATTATGGATTTTATTGGCTCCAGCTAGTTAGCCATGTGGTGCGGAGTACTTAACGTGCCATGCAACCCACCCGATGATAACAACTATTACTGTCTTTCCATGTAGGGACGACAGTTTGGCACTGCACAGCAGGGTTAAACCAATATAGTGACGTATTTCAAACACACTGCGTCTGCCATCCCTGTGATGCAAAAAAGCTAATGTAATCACCATGCCACCTCAGTAATGCATCCATGTGTATACGTACTAGAGCACTTTCCAAACATTGAAAACAATTAAGTTCACAAGCAATTTAAATTCCATATATATGTATATATATATATATATATATATATATATATATATATATATATATATATACATAAGCAAAATGAAGGGAATTGTAAGCAAAAGACAGAGGGATTTTGAGTTGCAGCTAGTTCAAATCATGCGTATGACGCAAAGCACTTGCAGTTGCCATTTTGGCCCGGAAGTTTCTGAGGCACTTATCCAAAGATGGCTCATTTTGTTTTTGTTTTTTTTGTTTTTTGTTCCACCCAGCCACATCCACGAATCCAAAGATATGGCTGCGGTGATTGAAAGTGCAATCCGCATCTGAAACGCTTGCGCTGAAAACATGAATTATGCTGACCTGTACAAGGACTCCACGTTTCGGGTAAGCATGTGAGTAAACACAGAGGTATGGAGGGGGTAATGGACCAGACTGCATGTAGATTCTGGTTATATTTTAGATATTTATGCGAATATGAACAAAGCGTTAACGAAATATCCGGATTTAAACTAACGGGCATAATACACAGTGATGCTGCTCGTCCCTTTTGAGTCACACTGAGCCCCACTCCAATAATGTGTGTGATGAGCAATGTAAACGGGCATCTTTAGAATGAGCTTTCTTGAAATTCTTCCCTTATTTGGAAGTTCAGCGTTAGAAAGCGCAAACGGGTGGTTGACGGCTAGAGACAGTACAACTATAGCAGTGCAGCTGATTGGTGAGCGTGTGGGTATGGATATAGCTCATTGGGTAGCGGGTGGATGGGGTAGGGAAATCTCACCCTTGAAGGCCTTTGGTGGCGTGTGTTTCACAGGTATTGGTCCTTCGAGGAGTATCAGTACAGTTTGGATCAAATATAAATATATAAATGATGATACTTCTAGCTGCTAACTAACCACTTGCAACGGCTTTTATGCCTCTTCATTCCGGAATACTTTAAATGTGTTGACTTTTAAGTTCTGCCCATTATTGTGTAAAATGTACTAACCTGGCATGCCGTCAAAATTACATATCAGCGATCCTGTGGTGTAGAAGCATCCCTCCCCCCCCCCCCCCCACATTCCGCTCCACCCACTCTCCTGTCAGGCAGCGTGACAGACATCGCACACCAAGGACAGGTAAGCTCCTTGAGAAACCTACATTTCCTGACGCGGATGGCATGCAGGTTTCAGGCATAAGCATCTTGCAAACTTTTGGTGATACTTGCTTGAAGTTGTCACATCACCAGGCGACGTTGAGTAGAATTTGCTCACCAAATTTCGAAGGATTTGTTACTGAACACGTGCATCGGCAGACTAAGCTTTCCTTTCCCAAATGCCTGGTGTACTGTAAGCCCAATACATACTGGCGAGATACAAAATAAGCAATAAATCAGACCCTGTTTTGATAGGTCACGATCTCTGGGGTATCGTCAGGGAAATTGGCGGCTGGAAATGGCCTGCCACAAGCCCATACGCATGGACTGGCTGCTCTTTTGTCCGCGGCAAGCCAAGTGGCGGCAATATTGTTGACGCCCTAAAGAAAGCTAAGCTGTTAAATCGTTGCTCCGTAAAATTCAAAGCGTAAAGCGTATTAAAACACCCACCCACATCCACACCCACCACACCCACACCCACACCCACATCCACACGCAAACCCATACTCACACACACACATACACACGCACGCACGCACGCACGTACGTAGACACAGAAAGAGAGAGGTATATATATATATATATATATATATATATATATATATACATTTCATATATATACATACGTATATACACACACACATATATATATATATATATACAAACATATATATATATATATATATATATATATATATATATATATATATATGTAGCCATATGAGAGCATGGCGTTTCGTGGTTTGGACAGCTTTCGGCCAGGCCTTTCAATCTTTTGAGCGTTACTTTTTGCATCGTCTGTTAGATCAATAAGTAGGTCAGAATAAAAAGCATTTGAGTGTCCTCACCGCAAAAGATATTTCACGAAAAATGGGTGGCTACGGGCTCCTTCTGGAGTCATTGTTTGCCATTTTTTTCTTGGCTGTTGTTGAAAACACAGCCTATACCGGAAGCTCTCTGATTCTGGAGTCATAGTAAACGCTCTCAGTGAAGGTCCCCCGTCCCCCCCCAAAAAAAAAACATAAGGAAAGCGCTGTTAAAGCATTTGTTCGCGGGAATTCTGTGCGTGCTCAAGCTATGACCTTTTACACTTGATAATCACTTGAACCACTACCAAGAACCAAACAAGCAGCCCATTCACCAGATCTTTTACCCTGACTTTATGAATCCAGTTTACAAGAATTGACGACAAAGTGGTGAAACTATAGTGTCCAAAAAACGTGAAAATGTTGGATTGGAATGTGCTTGAACCGCTAATATATTTTAAAAACTTGGCAATATAGATATATTTTATGAATCAGACACAATTCAAGCATAGATGAGAACGCGCAACAACGCAGTGCACAAATTTTGTTGTCCTAATGAGGATCGCAGGCGTCGTTCCGTGTCCCACATTGGTGTTACTGCAACATTTTTGTCCCAATGCCGCACAATGCACCTTACGAAAAGGGCGCCACGACACGCCGCTACTCACATTAAAGGGAATGTTCCAACTTTGGAGATATTGAGGTAAGCATCACATATGATTAATTAGGCTCACTTACAGCTATGGATTTACTTTAAAGTAGAAAAGCCTGCTCTAGATAAAAATTATCTGTTTAGTAAATATGCTCCCAAGTACGTCGATGCGTGATAACGTCATCGCAACTTGCACAACAGTGATTAAAAGCCAACTGGCGGCCGTTGTATATGTGAATCGTGCTCACGAATGGCAGCTGTGAACGACTCGACAATTATATTTTTATTGGGCTTGATCGACGCATGAGTTTCGGAATGATAGGATTTGACTGAAGTTAAGTCGGTGTCATAAATGTCTGGGTGACCCTGAAATGCTCTCCCAGAAATAGCCCTCACATCTTTGCGCTCTCGTAGCTCAGAAGCTAAAGACGCAAGTCTTAAGAACGGCAGAGCTGCAAAGGTCACCCAATGATTTTCCAGCCTTTTTTCCTTTAGTCCAAAGTCTCATACAGTTGTGGACATTCCCGAACTGAGGAAAATAGTCTAGTTGGGCCTGAAACCTCAGAAATGGAATACAAAAATTGGCAATAGGAGACAGCATATATAAGTGCCAAGCGTTCATTGCAAATGTCTCGTCACAACCAATCGGGTGTTGGTCGGGATATGGTGAAAACATATCGCAAAAACTGAAAGGCTCCCACACCAACGCGCTATGTTTTCCGTTTCCGATAATTCCAGCTCGTTTCGTTTATATGAAGCACGACTTAAACTGCTGACATATTTTCCAAATGGTGTTGAACAGCTGTCTCTAAATGCTCTCGCTTCAGATGATAGACGGCGGTAATCCGGCCACGCTCCGGCGTCTCGCAACGGCTCCGCGGTCTCAGAATAGATGAGGCATGGTTAGTCGCGTAACGTCTTCTAACGTCGTAATCCTGTCCCTTCATTTTAAGTGATGGTACTATAGGGATTACGATACGGGCCTCACCTTCCGCCTTCACGCCGCGTGTCCGTTTTCAGCGAATAAGCCCGCTATCCCTCCGCCGTGCTGTCGGGTTGTTCAGTGTCTGCCAGTGCCACACCGCGGGTGCCCCGTTTCAGGTGATAAAACGGCGGCCATCCAACGCCGCAGCCCGGCCGGCTCGCGGGCGGCGCCCGCCCAGCTCACTCTGCTGTTGCTGTGCTGGCTCGTGCCCCGGTGATGGCGCCGGCTGCCTCGAGCCGGCCTGTGACTCTCCAGACTTCCGTCTCGCTCGAGCGGCGCCGGTCCCAGCGGCCGCCGGAGCCGGACGCCGTAACCTTCCACCGCGGCGCTCCTGTGGGGGCAGCCCTTCGAGGAACACCGTGACGTGCGCCGGGCGGACGCACCTGCTCCCCGAACATCAGACGACTGTCAAATGCAGAGCGGTGAGTCGCGGGTAGATTGAGTTTCTCCACGTGGCTGGCAGTCTGCTATTCGTGGGCGACTGGGAGGGGATGGGGGGGGGGGGGGGGGGTCGTGACTGCGCACGGCTGCGCGTACCGCCGCACGAACAGCGCCTATCGCTCTCGACCAGGAGTGAACTGAAATCCGACCGGGAGAGAGCTGCGACCTCTGCAGTACGTGATTTTCGGCATCACGGGGAGAGTGTTGCGACAGCAGGTGAACTGCAATGTCGCCCAGGATGAGCCGCGACCCTAAAAAGTGAGTGAAGGCTGCGTGTAAATGGTGCGATCCACGAAGAGGAAACTTCGGTGCTGAAGAGGGTGAGCTGCGGTCTCTCAGATCATAAGCCCCTACTTTATGGAGCGCGAGCAGCGACACGAAAGGGCGTGATCTGCAATGCGACAGAGCGTGATCTGTGATGCGACAGAGCGTGACCTGCAATGCGACAGAGCGCGATCTGCGATGCGGCAATGCGTGATCTGTGATGCGACAGAGCGTGATCTGCGATGCCCCCAGAGTGTGATCTGTAATGCGACAGCGTGATCTGCGATGCGGCAATGCGTGATCTGCGATGCGACAGAGCGTGATCTGCGATGCAGCAGTGCATGATCTGCGGTGCGGCAGAGCAGGGGTTGCGACCACTCAGAGCATGAATTGAGAAAGTGGAAGTGGACCGAGCTTCCGACGGGTCACGGCCGGGTGCGAGGTCATCTGAATCTGGGGGGGGGGGGGGGCGCGTCTGGCGTAGGGCGGGGACGTGTCATCATCAGTCCACGTCGTGCTGTGGACCAGACCGTCACGCCTGACGTCGTGCTGTGACAAGACTGTCACGCCTGACGTCGTGTTGTGACCAGACTGGCACGCCGGACGTCGTGTTGTGACCAGAATGTCACGCCTGACGTCGTGCTGTGACCAGACTGTCACGCCTGACGTCGTGCTGCGAACATGCCATCACGCCTCACGCGCAGTGAGGCCGCGACGTCAACAATTCGTTGTGTTGAGTGGTTGTGAGTGTTGAAGCCATATGGCATTCGTTGTTCTCTGCTAACTGTCATCTGAAAGTGTGCAGAAAGTGTGGAGGTGTGCGTCGGCATCGTTTATGTTGAATGTGTGCCGTAATGAGCTCCCACTAAATACCATCGTCTCGGAGAACAGGCTGGTTTCATTCATGTGATTTGCTGCGGTGGTCATGGTTTTACGTTCGTCTGTGACGTAATACAAGCGTAACTACATACGCGCTGTTGAGCTAGCATGACTGCAAAGTAACGTGGCTTACCATCCCTAGTATTTGTCATGGGCTCGTTTTTCAATGCACTGTCTGATCGTTGCGATTTTCCCAAAATGCGCTGTTATCAAACTAAGCTGCATGCCGGATCTTTTTTAACTGGGCTGATTTCTTAACAAATGACACCGTAAACTTTCTACACGCCTGACATGAGCGGCGGTTGCATGAGTGCTGAGTGTTGCTTGAGTTATGACTCCGATACTCTAGTAGGTAGATGCTTAGCTGTTACCAAATGGGGAACATTTCAGAACATTATAGAATTCTCCGAAAACATGGAGCAGGTCCGCACACAGAAACAAAATGTTCACATTAATGTGGGCAGAAATGTTTCCTGACCGTTGCTTCTCACTGAAGGCAAAAATACCGTGTTTTCTTTCCTGTTTCATTCACGCTTTGTTCAGCCGCTGACTTATTTAATAGAAACCGGAAAGTGGACTGGAGTCTGTGAGATTTGATGTACTGCATGACAGCCCGATGTTGATGTTCCATAAGCTGCTCGTGCAGCATTTGCTCGCCGTGAAGGATAAAACACGTTACAATATATATATATATATATATATATATATATATATATATATATATATATATATACATATACATATACATATATATAATATACATATATATATAATATACATATATATATATATATATATATATATCTGCCCACCGCTAAATATTTTTCCGCTCCCCCCCTTATGGGTTTCGATCCTTCAGTCGGAGATTAATCATTCCTCTTTAACCGGAACAGGAATGTCATGCCCTTGACCGCACATGATCCAACACTTAGCTGCATGGTGCCCGCCGTTCGTCCTAGGCCTTGATCGATCCTGTGCATTTGCTAGCCGAGGGCGAAAGCATTGCTGCCTCCGGGTATGTTTATTGGAATACACGCGTTTGGACCAATGTGTGCAGGAAACACGCGTGGCACGGATGGTGGGACAAGCGCGTGATCCTTGTTCATTCGCCCATCCGATGGCTGCTTGTAAGGCTACTGGAAATCAGCTCTGAAGTTTCAAAGAGGAAGCCGTTATAGGTGGGTTGGATGCTGGTGGCGGATGGAAGTCGCAGATGGCGCGCTGATCCCTTATAGACCTCCTACCCCCCCCCCCCTCTCTCGCTCTCTCGCTCTCTCTCTCTCTCTCTCTCTCTCTCGCTCTCTCGCCTCTCCTCTCTCTCTCTCCTCTCTCTCTCTCTCTCTCTCCTCTCTCTCCTCT